CCGCTGGCACCAGACAGCTCTGGAGGAGAAAGTGAGGCTGGTGACTTTGCACAGTCTGCCCTCACTTAAGTCCAATTCACTTGCAAGTCATGGTATCACCTCCCAGATGTCATGGTCCTCTTCAAGAACAAAGAACAAACAATAATAGAAACAACAACAAAAAGATTCGGTGTTCTGCAAGATGAAAATTTTTGAGACTAAGAAATTGGACTTAGAAATTTTTACCTTTGCAATCAACACACAGAAATGCAACTTAAACACCATCGTAGAAAATGCTGAGAAACTTTTAGTTTCTCAAGAAGTGAATCTAACTTCCAAATGTCTCCCTTTGTGAGTATGAGTGCTCTAAGTTCACAACTTCCCATGAGATATTGTCATTTCCAATCTTTAGTTAATAGTGTATAATACAAATAATATAACTTTAGTGAATAGTAAAGAAGGCTCATCAGACAGGTACTGATATGCTACTTCTCTATCATCATCGATGAAATTTTTGGCTCAACCCAACTTATCTGTGTGTTTGTAAATCATGGATGATACAATAAGCTCCCCAATATTGCCTAGTTGTTCTGGGTTCTAGGAGATGATTTCAGAGGCTGGAGAAGTAACCAGTTATCTTGTTTATTCTCCCAACATTCAGCAGCAAATGTTTGCTACATGAATGTGTACGTGTTGTGTCACAACAATGTTTCTCTTTATCCTCTCCTCTTCATCTCATATCACTCAAATGCCTTCTGCCACTTTCTCCTTCTTTACTACTGTCTCACATGAAGAGGTGGCCTTACTCTTTACCAAGCCCACTCTGTCTACCTGCATAAGCAATCACATCTTTTTTATCTCCTCCAAAAGACTTCCCCTCTTAATCATTCCAACTCTATCACTTATCTTCAATCTCTCTCTGTCTACTGACTCCTTCCTTATTATCTACAAACATGTCCATGTCTTCCCTCTCCTCAAGAAAACCTCACTTAATCCTTCCATGTTCACTAACTATAGTTCTTTTATGACTAAACTCCTTGAGAAGACTATCTACAATAAGCACCTCCTTTCTCTCCTCTCACTCATGTCTTAACTCCTTAAAATGTGGCTTCCAACTTCATCACTGCACTAGAACCACTCTCTCCAAAGTTACCAATGATCTCTTAATTGCCAAATACAGTGGCCTTCTCTCAATTCTCATTCTTCTTGACTTCTCTGCAGCCTTTCACACTGTTGATCCTCTCTTCTCCTTATTACTCTCTTCCCTTTAGTTTTTCTCAACACCACTCTCTCCTTATTCTCCTAACTATCTGACCACTCTTTCTCAATCTTCTTTGCCAGGTCCTCATCCACATAATGCCATGTTGCTGTAGATGTCCCACAGGGTTTTGTCCTGGGCCCTCTTCTCTTTCCCTCTACACTTTCTCACTTGGTGATCTCATTAGACTCCTTGGATTTAATTGTCATCTGAATATGATGCTCAAATCTGTCTATGGTACCCTAATGTCTCTGATAATCTCCAATCTAACATTGCCAAGCGCATTTCAGACATCTCAAGCTGGATGTCCAGTAGACATCTTAAACTCGGTGTGTCCAAAATGGAATTCATTATGTTTACCCCTAAACCCTTCCTGCCCTTGCACCTTCCCTATTACTGTAAAGAGAGACACCATCCTCTTAGTTCCTCAGGTTCACAATGAAGATGTCATTCTTGACTCCTCCTGACCTGTCATACTGTATTCAATCTGTTGCCAAGACCTCTCAATTTCATCTTTGCAATATCTCTCGAATATACCCACTTCTCTCCTCTGATACTGCCACTACCCTGGTGAAAACCTTCATCACTTCATACTTGGACTTGTAATAACCTGCTGGTGGGACTGCTTACTTCAACCCATCCTCCATTCAGCCATTAAAAAGATTTTCCTAAAGTGTGTGTCTGAGCATATCACTCCTCCCTTCTCCTCCCACTATGCTCTATAAACTCCAGTGGCTCCCTATCACCTCCAAGATCAGATATAGAATCCTCTCTTTGGTGTTCAAAGACTTCATAACCTAGCCTTCTCTCATCTCTACCTTCTCTATTTTCTTACTCTTTTATTCCCATGACATACTCTTCAATTTAGTACAGTGCCTGGCACATAGTAGGTGCTTAATAAATGTTTATTTACTGATTGATTCGTTCAATTCATTGTCACTGGACTCCTTGCTGTTCTACAAATAAAACATTCCATTTCGCAACTCCAGCCATGTTTTTTTCTACCTATCCTCCACACCTGGAATCCTCTCCCTTTTCATCTCTGCCTACAAACTTCCTTGGCTTCCTTTAAATCCCAACTAAAATCTCATTTTCTACAGGAAGCCTTTCCCAACACCTTTTAATTCTAGTGTCTTCCCTCTGTTAATTGTTTCTCATTTATCCCATATGTAGCTTGTTCATATACATTCATTTAATTTGTTATCTCCCTCCCCCCATTAAATTGTGAGCTCTTTAAAGGCTCAATCTTTTGCTCCCTTTTTTTATCTTTAGTTTCTACCACAATTGCTGGAACTTAGTGGGTGCTTAATAAACATTTACCAACTGACTGACAATATCCTTTGCAGGTTCACCATCCATGTCATGTCCCACAGCTGTACTCCAGAGTTCTGTCTTAAGACCTCTTCTCTTTTATTTCTACACTACTTTCTCTGCACTCAGGTCCCATGGATTCAACGATCTTTACACAGGTGATGACACCTCATATCTGGCAATTTCCTGAGCTCTAGACCCACATCTTCAACTGCCTGCAGGCTATTTCTAGCTAGATATCTCAGTAGGTATCTCAAACTTAACATGCTCAAAATAAAATTCATCTTTCCTCCTAAACTTTCTGACAAGGACACAGAATCCCAGCCTTGTACCTGCTATTCTATAGCAATTGAGTCTTTATTCTTTTTCTTTTTTTCCTTTCACATAGAGATTAAGTCTTGGAAGAGTCCTTTGGAGTCATCAAGGATGTTGGGTCCCAGAAAAGTAAAGTGTCTTGCCCAGGCCACAAAAGGGGTAGAGCATAGACAAGAGCTTGGGGCCTCCTGTTACCCCCTGTTGAGCACACTTCTTACCATTTTACTACCTGTCTAAAGTCATTTGGGTTTTCTCTATTTAACTAGATGGTTTTATTAGCTTCCTTTTGAACTTAAGAAATATAAAAGAGTACTGGAATGGGATTCAGAAGGTCTTTGTTCTAGACCTTCTAGCAGCTCTTCCACTGCTTAAATATGTGAATAACAGACTCTTTGAGACTATTTCCTCACCTGAAAAGTGAGGAAACTGAGTTAGATGATTTTTAAGGTCCCTTCTGGTTCTCAAAATCCTAAGTTCCTTCTTTCTTTAACTTTTTTCCCCTCACCACTGATATTTTAAAATAAATCCAATATATTTTACTTGGAATGAAGGATCAATTGGATGAAAATCTCTATACTTCCTTGGTGAAATAATTTTTAATAAAGATTCCCCCTAAGTTTTAACAATAAACAAATAAAATCACTTGTAATTATAATTTTGAAGCTAAATAAATACCTCAAAGCTATCATCAATTAGCTTAATTAGTACAAAAAAATAAGATTGTCTAGAGAAACTTTATATGTCTATCTACTTATCTAATTTTTTAAAAAAATCACTTCTTTCATATCTTTGGTTGGGAGAGAATTCTCTGTGGTTCATGTACTTTTTAAAAGTTTTTTTAATGAATTTAATAAATATCAGCAAACACAAACATTTCAATAAACAAAGAAAAAAGCATTAATAGGAACTTCTATTGTATACAGTTTTAAGTGCATATTAAATTTAACTCACAGTTAAAAAAAACTTTCTTTGTTTACCTGTGTTCCTTTCTGTATTTCTGTCTGCTCTCTTCTAAACACTTTTTGAAATTTTTTAGTAATGGTATTTCCTTTCTTCTTTTTCTTTTCTTCATCTTTTGTGTGTGACTACTACTAATAAATAACCAACAAATTACTCATCTCCTCTCCTGATAGAAGACATATTGCATAACAAATTAGTATAGTCAAGCAAAACACACTGGCCATGTCAAAAAATTCATGTCTCTGCCAACGGGTGGAAAGGATCGTTCATCATCAGTCTTTTGAAGTCCTGATTGTTCTTTGCATTGATCAGAGACCTTGAGTCTTTCAAAGATGTTGTCTTTTCATGATAGGAACTTCTGGGCAACCATAGGCACAGGCAGATAAATGAGGTGCATAGTTATCAGGAATAGCATAGTTCTCTTTGAAACAGTTGTGCTGCAATTCTGGGACATAGAGGTGAAAGCAATAGCGCCTTCTGTATGTAACTGGTCTCGTTGTAAAACAGACTTTTCCTGGTCTGGTTTGATTCTAGAGCTGTCCTGGTTCCCCAACAGGCCATCTTTCATATGATTGAATCAGAGTAGACTTCTGCCAATTTTATACTGTGTTAGATTGAAAAGATTCTTAACCCCCAACCTCACAGCCAGAAAAGTCTTGGCAGGGGGAGGAGAAGGCAAACTTTGCTGGATCCTTCGTTGTTTCTAAGGTAGGAGTCATAGAGCCATAAACAGATTATTGCCTCCTTTTGCATCATGTGTCTAAGCTTTCTTGCCTGTTGTGTAGAGTTTTTTGCATTTCATCTTATCTCATTTATAAGGATGGTTTTCAGTGACCACAGCCCAGGGCTTCTGGCTCAGTTGTGAAGTGATGGATCATAAATTTAGAATCTTCATTTGCCTGCTGAGAATTAGAACAGAAGAGGAGCAACCTGGACTGGAAATTCAGTTCCAGTCCCAGCTCTATCACTCATTACCTATGTGACCCTTTGATGGTCACATTACCTCTCCGGGCTTTAGTTTCCTAAGATGAAGATGTTTGCCTAGGTAATCTCTAAGGTACCTTCTAGCTATAGTATTCTGTGCCCTATATTCTATGTCCCCCAGGTCTATATAGAAATAATAACAAGCATAAATATAAAGAGACATAACGGCGTGGGAATTCTCTTTTGAAAACAGAGTATCTCAGTACAATGTCACCAGCCCTGGAAGAGACGAGTTCCACACTATCAAATCCAGACCCCACCTCCCACAGTAAGTATAACAAGGCTTGCTACTTGGCTCTGAATATTTAACACACCCACCAGGTCCATAAGGAAAACAGTGTGGAGGTCTGGGCAAAAAGCCCATTTAAATAGTACTCTTCATTGACTATTGATATTTCTTGGGTTTCAAGTTGGAGTTATAGCCAGTAATCTGATGCTCTCTATACTGATATAAACACCACTATGTTTAAAAAAGAAAAAGAAAAAAGGAAGAAGTATTTGTGTCCTGTAGTATTTTCTATCTGCTTAAGGATTTTGCTGTTATTTTCTAATTAGTCATCACAACACTTCCAGGATCTGGGATGATGCCAAGAGCCAAGAGTTGAAGCAATTTTCCCCTCATCCTCCAGCAAAATAGGCAGCATTAAAACTCAAACCTATATACTCTATCCCTTCTGCTTGTTTTATTAATTGACTCCAGGGATGTCTATTGTTTCAGTATAAGGCACCTTTTTAAAAGGTTGACCTCAGTTCTTTCTAAATTCTTTGACATCTCCAGATATAGGTGGAGTTTTTTATGTAAACAAAAAATCCAAAACAACCCCCCAAAATTATAATTTTACATTCTTCATCATCACCATCATCTTCATCTTGCTATTTATTCTGACTGTTCCTCTGTGATTTCATTCACTCAGTGGCTCAAAGCAACAACTCAGATTTCTCCTGAATCAGGCGCATAGAATGAAAGACTTCAGCAGGAAAACGTCATAAAATAAACTTAGGGAACAGTTTTTTGTTTGCTTGTTTTGTTTTCAGCCCACCAGTTCAATTCCAGTGTAACTGCACAAAGCTACCCAGACCATAGCAAGAAGGAAACAGAACCAAGTAAGCACCATGATCAGTCTTTCTTAACTCATTAACTCGCTCAGAGTGGTCTATATTCTGGGTGAACTGGAACAGGAAATGAAAGGAAATCAGGTAACCTTTTTCAGGCTGCAGTGTGTGTGTCGGGTTTGAGGTGGAGTGGCGGGGGAGGGACAGTATTTGGATGGGTATGGAAGTGAGGATGTGGGAGGGATTTGCTGGTACCCCTGGAATTTCTACCAAGGCCTATCCAAATAAAAGAGTAACCAATAAAATAGTGACCTAACAGTCACTATGTGCAAAGGTTGAATGTGCGCTGCCTCCTGGTGGTTCAGGTCAATAACTGAGAGAGAAATGTGGAAAGAGCAGATCATGGAGCAGAGGATAAGGGAGGGTTGCCAATGCCCCAAATACAGACCTCTCATTACTCTACCAGTTTCAGAAATATAAATGGGAATTCTGAGGTTGCTGAAAGTTCCATACACCTCCCAGGGCAAATGGTGTGCTTGAGAAGCAGAAACTCAGGATTTTGCTGTTATTTTCTCTGATTTAACATAGTACAAATACAATCTAATACAGTACAAAAGCAACAACTCAAATGTCTCCTGAATCAGTTGCCATGGGATGAAAGTAAGAAAACTTCACAAAATAAACTCACGGAACAGTTTTTGTGTTTGCTTGTTTTGTTTTCAGCCCACCAGTTCAATTCCAGTGTAACTACACAAAGCTACCCAGACCATAGCAAGAAGGAAACAGAGCCAAGTAAGTGCAATGACCAGTCTTTCTAATCTCCTTAACTTGCTCACAGTGTTCTGCACTCTAGGCAAACTGGAGCCAGAAATGAAAGGAAATCATGTAACACCTGCGCCTACCACACTCGGAGTTGGGAAGACCTGGGGCTGAATTCCGTCTCATAAACGTAGTAATTGTGTGACCTTGGGCAAGTCTCTTCCCCTTCTAATCCTCTTTTTCCTCATCTATAAAAATGAGGGGTGGACTCGATGACCTCTAAGGTCCCTTCCACTTCCAAATCTATCACCCTAGATGTTCCCCTGGCTGAATTTGTGAAAAAGAAAAGAGCAAGGTGGAGGAGGATATGGATATGGATATGAATATCTGAGTTAACTTATTATTCTTACCAACTACAGTAGGTGTAAAGCTCTATTGTTTCTACCTGGTACACTCTTTAAATTCAATGCCCCAGACAAAGCCCCTTCCTCATCACCTTTCTCAGAACACCAGCCAGGTTTGTGTTTACCATCAATGGCCCTGGCAAAATGGAGGACCCACATGACCAGCTATGCCCGGACCAGCTATTTCCTTGCTCTAATAGTCTTTTCAAAATCTGAAACTCTGTGATTCTGTGATTCTTCCCTCCCCTAGAGGCTGTGAGATTCCAGTCTAAAATGCTATGAAAATCACTATGGTCACTCTTGGCATTTTCAAAATATTCTGGATGGAATAAAAAGCTCTAAACTCTTCTCTGCTTGAAAACTAATGTAGTGGCATGGTAAGTAGAAAGAATAGTGGATTTGAACAGAGAAGATCACGGTGCCAGTCTTGGATCTTTCACTTAACTGTGGGACGCAGGACAAATCCCTTCACCTCTATGACCTTCAGTTTCTTCATGTGTAAAATAACACTCGCACTGCCCATCTGTGAGGCAAACATTCCATAATCTGTAAACTGCTACATAAATGTGAGTGATTATTATGAGCTACTATTAATTTGAGCTCAGAAAAATCGATCTCATACTTGTAAATAAATCCATTGCTGCACCGATAGCTTCCACTAAGTGACTTTAGAGACAAATAAGTTTCGTTGGCAGTGCAGGCAATAGTCCCAGGGCTAGGCAAGACTAGGAAAGCGTACAGCTTTCTAACTCATGGCCTTTTTTTTTTTCCCTGACAAGGTTTGAGGAAAAATTCCCTACTGCAAGCTGAGCTATTTGTAACAGTTCACAAAAACAAATTAGGATCCAACAAGCTAATATTGATTGCTCCCTCCCTCTCAAACTGTTTCTGAAACATGTTCTACTTGTTAGATAGTACTGTAATGTGGCATCTGATATTAGATGACACATTTGGCAAGATTCATGACAGGCATTGGTAATTGGATTTTTTTTTCCCTCCTAGTATGTTTATTTCGATAGGTTTTTGAAATGTGAAGCGGCAAGAAAAAAACTAAGAACAAATAGATTTCTAGTGAAACAAACTCAATAATAATGCTTAAGGAGCATTTTTTATGTGCTAACCAGTATGCTGCATGTAACATTTAGTATTCATGTGTATTAATAATTCATATTTAAAGCACTTGAAGGCATTCAAACCATTTCCCTCACAATCACCCTATGAAGAAGGTAATATAAGTATTATTATCTACATTTTACAAATGAAAAAACTATGGCAGAGAGAATTTAAGTGCCTTGCCCATGGTCACATGGTTAATAAATGACTGATGCAGGAATAAAAGTCATATCACCTGGTTTCAAGCTAGCACAATAGTAAATGAGACTTTGCTGCACTCCCGAAAATTCATCCTAAAGGTGCTCAGGTTGGTGATCACGTTTAGGCAATGAACCTTGAGTCCGTTTTCTCATATATGAAAAATAAAAGATCAGCCTGGCCCAAAATAGAGAGAGTTGGTCTTGACGCAGAAAGAGACCTGGCTTTAAGTCTTGTCCCTGACTCATATTGACTGGATAACTGATAGCGTGTCATGGAACCTCTGTGTCTTAGGCAACTCTCTAAGTGGCAAAATATGTTCTGATCTGCATTGGCAGAAGAAGCTCCCCATCTGGAGCTCTCTATACCCATGAAACCATAGGTCTGCTTAAAAAATAAAATAAAATAAAGGTAAAAGTAATGTTAACCAGAAGTCACAACTCCACAAGATATGGTAGTATCTTGATTTATTACAACATGCATGTGAACATGCCTTATACCAAGGAGTCCGCCCCACAGATATGCTTTGGATATTTATGGGGTAACACAAAAAGAGGAGGTCACATGGGAGGAATATAGGACAATGCTCTTCCAAATGGAAAAGGCATGGGAAAAGAAGTGAGCAGTTAGGGGAGGGGGAGCAAGAGGAAGCAGGAGGGCTCAGGAACTTTGGACCATGGAGGGAAGATGTTCTGCTTATCTGAAAGGGTCCCAGACACACAAACAGTCTATCAGTCTGAGTTAGACTGGCTGGAGCCAGGATTGTAGCCGATTTGACTTCAAGGCGATTGAGAGTTTAATAGAGTTCAGTTGCAAATTAAGTTAGTTTTTTTTTGGGGGGGGGTGAGGCTTCATCTCTGGAAAATAAGGCAATTCAACAAAACAAGTTCAGGAGGCCTCTTCACAGTAAAAAATTCTGAGTCTTATCCCTTTCTGTCGTAAGCCCTAGAGCACACATTTTCTCCAACAGATTACCCAAGAAGTTGTTTTTGTTTTTGTTTTTTTTACTCTCCTTCTTGGTTCCCTCCTGCCTCTCTCCTTTGTGTAAAGTAAAATGAATCTTCTCCTCAATAATCTTTGTCTTCTGAGGAGGCACGTAGCTCTCATCAGAGGCCCAGATTCCAGCTCTGGATTCAGGCTGAACTCCGTCCTAGTTAAAAATTCTCCATACTGATCTCTACTTCTGAAATCTTCAATTCTCTTAGCTAACCTCAGTTTCGTGCTTCGAAGAAATATTGGGTGCCTATAAGATGTAAAGATTTTGCTAGGTGCTAGGAATAAGAAGATGAAGGACACAGATTTGCTCTCAAGAAGCTTATGTCTAATTAATATGGAACAGGGTGAAGGGGAAGATATATAAAAGAATACTTTAATACAAATACAACAAATGTAATATAAGTGATATTGGGCAAGTCTCTTAACTTAGCTCAACCTCAATTTCATCTACCAGTGAGCACAATAATAACACTGCTTTAAAAGGTTTTTTATGAAAATCAAATGTGATAATATGGGTGAAGTTCTTTGCAAACCTTAAAGTCATCTATGAATGTTAACTAACATCCACTATCATCATATTGGAAGGGGGGAATATGGCAAGTGTGAAACAGAGTAATTCAAGGAATACCACTCTTCCTTTAGGGGGAGAGAGAGAGAGGTCCAGGAAGAGGAGAAACCAGAGGTGAAAACTGGAGAAGAAGGGACTTCAAAAAACTGAAATTGGATTGAGTGGGTAAAAGGCAGACAGGTGGCACAGAGGTTAATGTGTTATAGCCTTAAAGAATTAACTGGGGTATTGAAAGGTGCTTAAGACCCTTGCCTAGGGTCACACAGACAGTGCAAGATACAAAGCTATTGATCCCCTGGAGGGTCCACCCATATCCCCAAAGCATAGTCATTAATCTAAACCCTTGGATCACTGGGAGAAGGCTCAGGAGGAGGGAGTCGGTGGAAGTGAGAAGCAGTGGTGACAAAAGGTAGACTCCAAAAGTGGGGCATTACAACATAAGATGCTCAGGTAGTAATCTAGATTGGGGTGAGAGAATTAGGATGCTAATATAGTGCAAATGAAAAAACAGTAGCAAAGCAAAGGAATCCACCATGGGAGGAAACGTTTCCTAGAGGTTAGCTCCAGATGCTTCATCCTGAGGGCTGCTCAAAGATGAATGGAATTTATTTCTGAAACCCTATTCTGTAAGTTCTTTCTCTTGATTTCAACTATTTCTATGGCAGCAGCTAGGTGGCGCAGTAGATAGAGCACCAGCCCTGGAGTCAGGAGGACCTGAGTTCAAATGTGACCTCAGACACTTGACACTTACTAACTGTGTGATCCTGGGCAAGTCACTTAACCCTGATTGCCTCAGCATAAAAAAACCAAAGGAACAACAATTATATACATATATAAACACATGTTTATTCTTTAGTGAAATTACAATCTCAGAGATATAGATACTACCTACAATAGTAACCGTTCATAAATTATACAGGCTTTCTTATTCTGTATAACTCTTATCTACCTTTTCTTAAAAATCCTCTGTAGAGGAGGTAAATGAAGCCCTGGAGACTTTCCTGTGGGTTTTTGTAACATCTTGTGGGTGTGTGCATATCACCTGAATTTTTCATCCATATTCCTTCCTCAGATCCTTTTCTTTTCACATATTTCTTTGATGTTGTCTTTTATGCCACATCATATCGTTGCCATCAGTAATATATTACAGATTTTTTATACCTATGATAAAGCTCTTTATTATCCTTTAGGTAACTTGAAATTTTGATTCCTTCAAGATCCTCCTGTTCCATGAATCTTAGCCAAATATTACTGCCAGAATATTGGTATGAAAAATAAAATATTATGTGTGCATGCCAAGTCACAGCTTGAGTTTTTTGAAAGTACTACATAATTTCTCAAATGCCCATTCTCTTTCTCCTATTAAATTCTGAGTCTAAGTCGTTATCCATCTGCAGTATCTGTCAAGGAAATATATACTGATTGGCAAATTCAGTGAACTACCCATCCAATTACTTGTTAGAATCTAGGCAAAATACCTTCTTACTCAATTTGTTTTTGTTTTGATTTTGTAAAAGAATTGTTAGGCTCATCTTTTCTGAGTATTTGCCAATCTCATGAGTAGGTCCCACAGTATTCTGAGGCTTTCAATTATCAACCCAATGATATTTACAAATAGGATTATCTGGGGTTATGTTATCATCTATAGCCTAACTCTCTTCTATTTGAAGTCTGAGAAGGACAATCCACGATAGTGGTTAAGTTTATGTCTCTGGTTATAACTTTGTTATAACTCTGAGATGTATATGTATGTGTGTATGTATATATATATATATATATATATATATACACACACACACACACACATATAAGTATATATATACACACACACACATACATATATACATATATATATATATATGTGAGTTATGTATAACAGAGTTATAACTCTGGTTAAGCTTATATCTCCCTAGGTTGTTTTTTAAAAATACATCGCTTGATATTGATAATTAAAAATCATTGAACAATATTCTTCCTGTGATTGTCTCTTCAAAAGAATCTTTTAGGATCTTAACATGTGTCTGGGAAATATCTTTTGGGAAGACAATCTTTAAGGCTACATGTGTTAATATATGAAATATATGTACATATTTTTTACATCTAGACATATATATATGTGTGTGTGTATGTGTGTGTGTGTGTGTGTGTGTATTTAGCTACAATGACAAAAGGCACACACAATGTTAGATTTTTTAGGGCAGAAGCCATTTTTCCCATTTGTGCCCTCTCCCACCTAGGTCCCCTTCAGTCAAGGCTAGTTCGAAGTATTCTGTAGGTGTGTAAACACTCAAAAACAAAAGCTCAAGATCTCCTAGTGATGTCTTTACTTTTGCTTGTCAGATAGAGGGCACCTCAACTCTCTGGTCACCAAAAGCAGAAAAAAAAAGACCAGAGGATAATTAGTTCAAAACAATGTAATTTTAGGAGTTTTTTTTAAAAGTAACAATAAAATATTCCTCCCCTCAACCTGAGACATATTCTCTCACAAATACACACATGATTAGTGGGAAGATAATGCTTTGGAAGAGGAATAAACTAAGTAAACACATGTAACCAGGGCACACACATGGTCTCATGTGCCATGAGATATCTGCCAGAGTTTAATCTTTCCTAGACATGTGAGCATAATGTGTAATCTCTGGTGAGCCTTGCTCCCTCCTGGTCTAGAGTGTTTGATGGTTGTCTGCTGGTGCCGAGGTAGAAGCCTGTGGGGCTTCTTTCTGCTTCTAGCTTCTAGATTATGACGGAGCATCCATTTGAGGTGCTATCATTTCCCCATCAGAGGAAGAGTGTGTTTTCCATTTCTTTTTTTTACCTCCAAGACCAGATGTTTTTAATTGTTACCTCTCCTTTAGAAAGATAGAAACCTTACACACCTTATCATTATATTAGGGAAAATCCTCAGTGACATTCACTCCCTTGAAGATAAATAGATAATAGATGTATGCTTGATAATAGATAGATAAATTAGAGAGAGAGGGAGATAACAAGTATTTATGAAGTGCCCATTATGTGCCAAGGCACTGTGCTAAGCCCTTTACAAATATAATCTCCTTTGATCCTTACAACACTCCTGAAAGGTTGGTGCTGTTAGGACGGATTTGTACTCAAATCTTCCCCCTTTTCAAGTCCAGGGCTCTTTCCAGTGTACCACCTACCTGTCCCTTATGCAGGTGCAGGTGGAGTTGGGGGTAGGGTGTCCACCTTTGGAGTGAGTATTTTCTTTTCTAAGAGACTACAGGCCACAGATGCTAAGCTTTTTAGGATGTACATGTTGCCTCCTCCTGTAGAATGGGCATTCCTCAAGGACAGTGGACTGTTCTGATTTGGGTTCTGGGTCCTTGGTGCTTAGCCTAGCGCTCAGTGCAGTGTAGATGTTTCATGTATACTTATTGATTTGGAATACAAAGCATCCCCATTTAACCACTACCCTTAGACTTAGCTGTTTTATTTTTACCTCAGCTTCCTGGTTAGTGAGGGCAGTGTCTTTTTTAGAGGCCTCACACTCTGACTTAAATTAGAAATTCCTTGCGACTCCCTGATTAATTTCATACTGTTAAATTGTATTGCATCAACATCTATTTAGAACCTTCTCTTCTGGAAAACTGCGAAGGGCTTTCTGGATTGAAGGCCTCTTCAGTTTCTCAAACCCAATAGGTTTCTTTGTCTCCCATGCAAATGAATGGAAAGGGGAATAGGAAAGGCAAAGAAAGAAAGAGAAAATTAAGATCGCTGTCTTTCAACCACTTTTAGTATGTATATACGACTAAGAACCAACTGCTTATTGTTTATATCCTTAGCACCCTAATAAGTACAGTGCTTTGTACATAATAGGTACTTAATAAATATTTATTTTTAAGATATAGACAGATATAGACACAGATAGACACAGACACACAGAGAGATAGATTTGATTTTAAAGAACTCTCATTTTCTGAGTAATTTCTATTTCTAAACTACTATTGTATCTTTCTTGCCAAATGTGGGCAGTAAGCACAATGAGCTTTTAGACGTCAAAAGATGAGTCTAAAAGCCATATGTCCTACTGAGTTTCACGATATCCTGTCAGGGGAGGGTCTATTACCAATATCTCTAAAAGTTTTACCCAACAGCTAACACCTCGACTGGGGACCATGCTTTAACGATTGAGCTCAAATGTCTTTTCTAGCTCTAAGAGTCTGTGATTCCATGACTGTACAAACGAAGTTCTAGTTAGCAGAGTAGAATTTACAGAAATAAAATCAATGGCATGAGCAGCTCCTTAACTAAACACACATGTCTCCTAAATAAAAGCAATCGTTTCCCCCCCACTTTAGTGAATGATGGTTTTCTTTTAGTGGAAGAGTACTGACTCTGGAGGCAAAGAATCTTAGTTCAAATCCTGCCTCTGACAGTTACAAACTACAACCCTATAGAAGTCTCTTAACCTCACTGAGCCTTGATTTCCTCATCTGTAAAATGGAAGGGCTAGAAGTTGGTCTAGATGACTTTGGAAGTCCCTTCCAGCTCAAAATCTGGGATCCTATGATTTTAATCATGCCCTGTTATTATATTCACCATGCCAGCTTCAATTTTCATTCTCTCTTTTTATGTAAGCTCACATTTTTGAAGTGACAGAAGGAATCCCTCTCTACATATTTGACTTCTAGTTCTGTAGCTCTCCCTGCTGTTCCCAGATTTTAGATGACTTTTTAAAAATTCTTTCCATTGGACCCTTCTGGATCACCCATTCATTCATGCAGCAAACATCTATTAAACATTTACTATGTTCTAGGTGCTGGTAGAGATGCAAAGTTTGAGCAACAAACATGGTAGAATATGCAGAAATCAAATTAGTAGTATAAGTAACTCATCAAACAAATATAAATGGGCAACAATCTAGTGAGGTAGGTAGTACAGCTGTTATTATCTCCATTTTACAGATGAAAAAGTGGAAGATCAAAGGAATTAAATGACTTAATTAAGATAACATGGAAAATGTGTCAATGTCAGGATTTAAAACTAGGGCTCTTGACTCCAAGTTCAGTGGTTTCTCTACATTCTCAAAATGTCTCACTTAATACTTTTCCTGGTCAGAAAATAAATTTGGCTAAGAAATTTGTTTTTCTTAAGAAAACTTAATTAAGAAACTTCTTTCTTAGAAAAGAAAAAAAAATTAGACTGAGGATCTTGAACTATCTTTCCTTGAACAGATCTGTGGGTGTTCACTTTGACCTACAACTCAACCCCTTCAGGAGCAGACACAATATTGAATGGTAAGTACTCTACAAGGATTTGGGGGGTGTGGTGCATTCAATGTAAGTACAGTTGAAAGCATGGTGAGATGATAAGAAGCAATGCACACATAATCACTTGAATATATTTTTGATGGTGGTAGTGGCAGTGAAGATCCTTATGAATGAATATTAAGAAGGGAAAAAAAACCAGAATACTCCTCAGCTACTGATAGTGAAGAGTCAGAATTATCCTAAGCTTTGAGTTTCTCTAGGACTTTTCCAAAAAAGGTTAAATAATAGCATTTACTCCTCTCCCCCCTGTAATATGTATGGAAAACAAATTTCAACTCTTCAAAAGAAGAAAGTAAAAAAGACTTTGTTTACTTTGATGCTCTCTATGTGGTTTGGAAAAGCCCAATATTTCAATGAGCTTAACCATCTCTTAAACCTGACCTCTCTTTTGTTTGAATGATAATATAGAAGCTTCTATCAAGCATCCCTAGGGGCTGGTGCTCCAGCAAGAATCCCTTAGAGTTGTTAAAATTCTGGTGGAGATTCTTTAGGTACAATGTCTCTTTTGCTTTGAATCTTCTTATTTATCTTTTTTCCCTCTTTGGAATTAAGGGAGATTGTCAGTGTTAGCCAAAAACACTGGGCAGCTCACATTTTCCATTCTGCCCAGCTGTTTGCATAATTCATAGATTATCTTATAACAAAGAATACATACAGTAGTTCTAGAATGGGCAGGCTAGACAGACGAGAGAGAGAGAGAGAGAGAGAGAGAGAGAGAGAGAGAGAGAGAGAGAGAGAGAGAGAGAGAGAGAGAGACAGAGAGAGAGACAGAGACAGAGACAGAGACAAAGAGAGAGGGAGAGAGACAGAGACAGAGAGACAGAGAGAGAGAGAACCTGGGTCTAATTCTGATTTTATAACTTGTTCATGTTACAGTTGAGATTGTCAATCAGATTCTGAGGTCTCAGAAGCTAATAAAGAACATCACACATTATTCCCTTCAGCACAACCAGTGAATTACCTGTAGGGACCATAACTGCCGATCTGTTTACTGAAAATTATTAGTCCCATGTCAGTAGTAGGTCTCATACCATATATTCTTCTGCCTTTGTGTTTAAATATTACAGTTTTTGTGTTTTGTTTTGTTTTTAAGTCATATTATCCAACTAGGGTAACATAAGTGTTGAACTAAAATTTGTTTTTACAAGGGAGACATAGTCTTATGGTCTCTCTGTTGGGAAACAAAGACCCTCAGTGTAGTAGCAGTCAGAAACTGACCATAATTAACCATTTCGTTTCTACACAGGAGTATCTGTATGGCTTCTTTTTTTTCAGAGTATTCATCTTTAGCTACTCATCAGTTAGGTTCTTAAGGAGGGAAATTAGCTACTTTAATTTAAAAAGATTTAGAAGGGACCTTAAAAATCTTCTACTCCAACAGATTCATGTATTACAAATGAGAAGACATAAGCCCAGAAAGAAATTACTTGCCCAGGCAGAAGGTTGCAGAGTCAGGTTTGAAACTTAATCCTTCTGACTCTGAGTCCAGAACTCTTTCCACTTCCTCTGCTTTCTTACTATATTATTTAATTCATTATGAAGACCTAGGGGACCCCAAGAATGGATGTACTGCTAAGACCCAGAGAAGCAGGTTACTTGCTGAGCGGGAAATACGTTTACCAAATTTTGAAACTCAATTCAATAAACATTTTATTAGAAATGATGAGTTTGATGATCTTAGAAAAACATGGATAGACTTGCATGAAATAATGAAGAGCAAAATGAGCAGAACCAACAGGACATTGTATACAGTAACAGCAATATTGTTTTAAGAATAACTTTGAGCAAATAAGTCATTTTGAATATTATGAATACCCAAATTAACTACAAAAGATATATGAAGGAAGATGCTATCTGCATCCAGAGAAAGAACTGATAAATAGAAGTATTTATAGAATGATTTTGATACACATACATTTGTGTAATCATCTCTAGAAGGGGGAGGGGGGGAATAAAAAAAAAGAAATGTACATAACTTTATTACATATGTGAAAGGAACAGCAAGTTGTACACAATAGATTTGCAGCTTTATGTTCAATCATCTTTTTTTTTATTATATTATGTTAGGGAAATGCTTGTTTTATTCCATAAATTAAAAATAAAAAACCTAAAAATTTTAAAATTTCCTGCTATGGGTAAGAAACTTTGCTAGAAACAAAATAGTCCCTTCTCTCAAAGAACCTGTATTCTACCGGGGTGGTGGAGAGATGATATAGAGAAGTAAATACAAAGTAAAATAAAGTTATTTCAAAAGGAGAAGAATACTTATAACTTGAGGAGAGAGAAGATCACAAAAGGTCTCTTGTAGGAACTGGCTTCTCAGATGTGACTTCAATAAATCAACAAGAATTATATTAAATATCTATTATGTGTCAGGCACCATGCTAGGCAGTAGACATAGAAAGACCAGAAAAAAAAATCCCTGCCTTTTTAAGGAGCTTATGGAGATCATAGATTTAAGAGCAGGAAGAGAACTTAGAAACCAGAGTCCAATCCTTTCATTTTACTGAGGTTAAGTGACTTGCCCAGAGTTATCCAACTAGTAAGTGTCTGGAATGGGATTCAAACCCCAAGAGTAGCACTCTAGCCACTATACCATGTTGTCACTCATATTATCAGGAAAGACAGCATGTCCAAATATGATTACATGCTAAATCTATTCAAGATCTATACTGGGCATTTTGGGTGGGAGAGGTTTTAGCTGTCAGAGGAATCAGGAATCTCACACAGAAGATAATGCTTAAGCTTAGCTTTGAAGGCAAATGGGAAAACTAAGAGACAGACATGAGAAAGAGCACATTCTAGCCATGAGGACCAACTTGTGCAAAACACAGAGATGGGAGATGAAATGACATATGTGAAGAAGCTGCAAGAAAACTAGTTTGATTGGGCTCTAGAGTATGTGAACGGGAATGACGCACAATAAGCTTGGGAAGATGGCTTGTAGCCAGGCTGTAAAGTTCTTTAAATGACAAATAGAGGAGTTTGCACTTGCTCCTAGAGGTAACATGGAACTATTGAAATTTCTTGAGTAGCAGATTGACACAGTCAAATCTGGGCTTTCAGAACATCATTTTGAAGGACAGGTAGGTAGCACAATGGATAGAGCACCAGCCCTGAAGCAGGAGGACCTGGGTTCAAATCTGACCTCAGACCAAACACTTGACATTTACCAGCTGTGTGACCCTGGGCAAGTCACTTAACCCCAATTACCTCAAACAAACACACACACACACAAAAATATCACTTTGGCAGCTGTGTGGAAGATGGATCAAAGAGGGAAGAACTAAATCAAAACAAGACGACAAACATTTATTTAGTGTTTACTATATGAAAGGACTGTACTAAATGCTAGGCAAATAAATACAAGTAAACAGAAAGATGGTCTCTGCTTCAAGGAACATATTTCTAATGAGGGAAGTAATATACAAAATGGAGTTGAAAGGGGGTAGGAATGAAGGTACTCACCAGGGGCCTGGTATTGAAGTCCTGAAACGCAGCTAGGAGGAGAATGAAAGTTGGAAACCTTGGGCCCCTCCTCAAAATGGAGGCCATGAGAGGAACTTACTGATAAGAAAACCTAGGAAAGTGATTGCAATAGTCTAGGCAAGAGGTGATGAGGGCCTTTGAGGGAAGCCAGATGTAAGGAAGGCATGCATTCTAGACATGAGGGACCACATATTCAAAGGTCTGTAGGCAGGAGATGTACTATACTATACTATACTGTACTATACTGTACTATACTATACTATACTATACTGTACTGTACTGTACTATACTATACTATACTATACTATACTATACTATACTATACTATACTATACTATACCATACTATACCATACCATGCCATGTCATACCATACCATGCTATACTAAACCATTCTAAACCATACTATACTGTACTACACTATACTATACTATACTATACTATACTATACTATACTATACTATACTATACTATACTATACTATACTATACTATACTATACTATACTGTACTGTACTGTACTGTACTGTACTATACCATACCATACCATACCATACCATACCATACCATACTATACCATACCATACCCTACTCTACTCTACTATACTGTATTATACTGTACCATACCATACTATACTATACTATACTGTACTGTACTGTACTATACTATACCATACCATACCATACCATACTATACCATACCATACCATACCATACCATACCATACCATACCCTACTCTACTCTACTCTACTGTATTATACTGTACCATACCATACCATACTATACTATGCTGTGCTATGCTATGCTGCACTATAATATGATATAATAAATACAGAAACAGATGACAAGCCAATTTTACTAGAATGAAAAATGTGGGAAGGGCAGTAATTGAAAGGTAAATGGAAGCCTGATTGGGGGGGGGGGCGGTGCAGGGATTTAAATGCCAAATAGAGAGAAGTTTGTATTTTTTCTTAGTGTCAGTAGAATGTTAGTTATTAATAATTTTGAGTAAGAGAGTGTTTTGACAATATGAGTTTGGAAGCTTGGAGAGTAGAAAGACTGATGGCAAAAAGACCATTTAGGAAGCTACTTCAATAATATAGACAAAAAGCAATGAAATCATGAGCTACAGGGTAGAATCTATGAGAGTAGAGAGAAAAGGATAAACACAACACACATTGTAAAGGGAAGACCAACAAGGCTTGCCAACCTATTTGCTATGAGATCTGAGGGTGAGAGAAGCAAAGATAATTCCAAAGCTGAGAACAGGGTAAGGCTAGAATACTTCCTCTTCATTAACTCCTGACTGGGCTATTTAAACTCTCCAGTAAATTATCTTCACTGTGGTATACTATGGTGGTAGACTTCAGAGTTTGAAAAGAACCAGTTTTCTTCCAGTAATGGTGAAGACAAGCTATGTCTCCTTACTGATGTTGTTTCCAACTCTTCATGACCCTATTTGGAGCTTTCTTGGCAAAGAAACTGAAGTGGTTTGCCTTTTCCTTCTCCAGCTCATTTTATAGATAAGGAAACTGAGTCAAAGAAGCCTAAATGACTTGCCCAAGGTCACACAGCTAGTAAAAGAGTCTAACACCAGATTTGAACCCACGAAGAGGAATTTTCCTGTCTCCCAGTCTAGCACTCTACTACTGCACCACCTAGCTCTCAGTAGTAACAACTGGCAAGTGGTTCATGGATTAGAGAGAAGATTTGAGGATCTATTTTTTTTAAATTCTGTGTATTCAGTATGTAATTATTTAACCTTTATTCTATGTATTGTACCTTGATAAAACACTGGGGGGGGGTTATGAAAGAAATATAAAGTCCCATTCTCTGCCTTCCTAGAACTTACAATCCAGAAAAAAATAACTAAAGAAAATTCAGATTCTGATTTTTCTTTTTTGCTCCAATTATATTGTTGAGTCAGTAATATAATACAAATTAACTAGAAATTATAAACATTAATCATCTTCTCCAATGCCCAGCTAGTAAGTGGCTATGTGATCTTGTGTGAATCCTTCACCTTTAAGGCTCTCAATTACCTCACATCTAAAATGATGGAGCTAGACTAGATGGTGTCTAATGCCCCTCATAGCTTTAAAAAGTCTCTTATTCTAAACAATCCCCTTTACTTTATGCTATATACCCTCATATTGCTAGAGATAGGCAGTTTTCTCTCCTGTGTCTTTAGTCTTATGGAAGAAAACTCACAATGTGACAATTACACTGCCCTCTATTACTACATCATTTACTTGAAAGTTCTTTTTTCACTTTTAGCTGAAAGTGTAGGTTTAAGATAAACAATTGTTTTAAAAATGTGTGTAAGGATAAATGGATAAATGAAACCCACAGATAATCTAAAGACTTCTCATCTCTCATATGCCAGATGCTGTGCTAGCCAGGGGAATATGTTGATTCCCAGGTCACAGCAAGAAGCAAAAAATAATTGCTTCAGTTTTTTTTTTAACCTTTCCTTCTTCCTTTGTGAAATCAGCTAAAGGTTGGGCAGAAGGAGGGGGTCTCTTGGCCCCTCAGAATTCAGGAATTTTTCATTTGAGTTCTATGAAATTTTTATGTATTTCAATAGCTGCATTTCAATATACCCAATTGGTTTCCTTTGTAATGCTATATATTTTGGGTTTTTTTGTATTTAAATTATTTTATACTGAGAAGGGATCCATAAATTTATACAAACTGTCAAAGATGTCTAGGACACACACACAAAAAAGGTTAAGAACCCCTGGGTTAGATTATTTTACCTGAGGTAATGAGACCCTGGATAACTAAGAAATGACTGGGAAAAAATCTTGCCTAGAACAGTAGTTTTTGGATCTCAGGAGATCTTTCACTTGTAGTCGATAGGATGTCTATTGGACTTTTCAAGTTCTTAAACCACTTATGACCTTTCTCCTAATAATGACAATAGAAGATATTCAGGACATCCTGAAAGATCAGGAAGTCTTTACTAGTGGTAATATTTGTCAGAGCTGGGTCATTAATTTTGGTCACGTTTCATCCTTAATTATGGCATTCTTAGACAGGATCTTTAAAGCTCCTCTAACCTCAATCAATACCTTTCTGCCTTGATTTCACATTTCTCTTTCAAGTCTTCTGTCTGAAGGCTGAATTATACTACTCACTCTTCTCCAAGCCATCTTATCTTCTTCCATCCACCATTACTTGACTATACATTTTATTGCTCCCAGGCTGCCCTGCTCCCACCCCTGATTTTTTAAATCTTCCTATCTTTCAAGACCCAGCTCAAATACCACTCTTTCCTGAAATCTCCCTATCTTCCATGAAATTGTTCTATTTAGAAGTGATCTATCATGTCTCAGAACCCAAAGCCCCATTCCTATTTATTTATCATTCAAATTAATTTGATAAATATTTATGGAGAGCTTACTATGTAACAGATATTAAGTAAAACATAGGGAATCAAAACACAAACATTCTCTGCCTTCAAGCAGTTTAAATTGTACTGGAGGTGGGGTAGTAGAAACACAGCATATGTACACAGGTGGTTAAGTAGAAGAACTCACAAAGCTATTGAAAGCAATTTATTTTTAAAATAATCTAATTTAATTAATGCTTCATTTTCATACTACCTTGATTTCCAAGAATATATTATTTTATTGTGTGTGTGTATATATATAAGTATATATATATATATATATATATACACATTCATCTATTTGAGTATAATATTTCATATATTTCCAAGCATATATTTCACATATATCATATACTTATATATAATGTATCATATATACACATGTAACACATATATCTTTGTTATAAGGGATAGTTTGCTGTATAGAATAGTGGGTCCTTACTCACTTGGATATATGCGTGTGGTATGTGTATATATAATATGTATATGAAAGATGAACTCAGTACATATATATGTGTGTGTATGCGTGTGTGCATGCATGTGTATATATACACGTGTATACATGCTTGTATATACACACATGTGCATATGTATATATGAATATGCACATACGTATGTGTGTATATGTGTGTATGCGTATATACATATATGTATGCATATATGCATATATCTCCAAGTGAAGACCCACTCTTCTATACAGCAAACTATCCCTTATAACAAAGATCTTAAAAGGAGAAAACGAAAAATTTAACAAAGCTAACAAAGATGTCAACTATGTCTTGATAATATTTGTGCTATTTATACACCCACAGTCTTACATCTTTGCAGAGTAGGAAGGGAGATGCATTTTCTGAACTCTTTACCAACTCCAAGCTTGGCCATTATTGTTATAAGACGTCCATTTTTTAATTTCTCTTTGTTGTTGTTGTTTTAATCGTTCTTTCTGAAGTTATTGTACAGATGATCAGGATGTCATTTCAGGAGGCAGAGAGTACTAGCAACTGAGGAAATCAGTAGAACTTCCTGATGGAGGCAGAACTCAAGCTGTGGTTTAAAAGAAGCTAGAGATTTTAAGAGGTAGACATTTCTGCTCTAGTACACACAGGCCTGGCACTGGAATGTGCATGCCTGTTGTCTTGAGGCCTACCCTAGATAAAAACAGCGAAGCACAATTTTCAGCCATAGCTAAGGTTGGGTTCAAGTCAGCTCTAATTGACTTGAGAGCTAATTGTGAAAACTTTAGTGTGAGCATTTACACCTCAGGAATCAGCAATTGCTACAAATCAAGACTTGATTCATTGCTTTGTTGATTGTCTAGACTTAAGGAAATGTTAATAATGAAGATTAAACTTAAAAGTTTTGTACATACTTTTCCCCCCCTGGAGAGCCTAAGTGTTTGAACATTTGCCAGCATACCCCTGTTTTATTCTATAAATCTTGTTTGAGCTCAGCAAGAGCTTAATGAAGTTATCACCAGACTGGCAGTCTGGTAACTGTAGGGTAATAAATAATGAGGAGGAAGAGGAGGAGAAGGAAGGAGGAAGAAAACGAAGAGGAGGAGGAGGAGGAAGAAGAGGAGGAGAAAGGAAGAAAAAGAGGAAGAAGAGCAGGAAAAAAGGAGGAAGAAGAGGAAGAGAAAGGAGGAAAAGAGGAGAAAAAAAGAGGAGGAGGAAAAGAAAGAGGAAAATGAAGGAGGAAGAAGAGGAGGAGGATAATGAAGAGAAGAGAAAGAAGGAGAGGAGAAGGAGGAGAAAGAAGAGGGGGAAGAAAAAGAGGAGGAAAGAGAGTGGAAAGGGAAGTGGGAGGATGGCAATAGGCATTATATAGTGTTATAAGATTTGCAAAGTGCACTCCTCTGGACTTCATCATGCCCCAGAACCTCTTTGTCCTGCAAGATGGCTTCATCCCTAGACCTCACACCTCCTCATTACCCTTTGTTCTGGGGGCTCCTACCTCCCTGGGATTGGAGGACAGAGAACTCTCTTCCCAGAGCCTTTATTTAAGGAGAGAGCTCAGATCAGCTAAGTCTTCATTTCCCACCCATTGCTTTTCTGTTTCCTTTTGTATGTCTTGTCTCCCATTAGACTGTGAATGCCCTACGTGTACTCATTTTGCCTTTTTTTTTTTTTGGTATCTTCAGAACTCATCACAGTGCCTCGCACATAGTAGGTGCTTAATGTTTCTTGATTGACTGACTTTACGTCTGTTATCTCAATGCCCCTAACTACAGCCATTCCTGAAGACTATCTTATTGTTTAGTCATTTCATTCGTGTTCAGCTCTTCATGACTCCATTTGGGGTTTTCTTGGCAAAAATCCTGGAGTGGTTTGCATTTCCTTCTTCAGCTCATTTAACAGATGAGAAAACTGAGGCAAACAGGGTTAAGTGACTTGTCCAGGATCACACTGTCAACAGAGGCAGAAAGGGGTCTGGATCTGTCTTAATGGAATGCAGAAGGACGCTAAGAAAATCACAGCTCTTTGAAGACATGTGAGATTCATCTCCTTTATGATAAGACCTTTAAAGTCAAGTTCTTCCCCTTATTTGCCTTCATATCTGCCCAGTGCCTTGCTCATGCTTTAAACTTTCTTGACTAGAATCAAATGGAGTATTACTCCATTGTCCTAATGGAAAAATAAAATTGAAGAGCAGCCAGAGAAAACATCTTATTTTCATGTTTCCCACTGGAGAATCTTCTGAGTCACCTCAAACATCGAAGATGATGTGTCTGTATGTCTTCCTCAGGTACTGCGTCTAATAAGACGAAGAGAGGAATGTCCTGGCCAGTGATTGTGGCAGGTTTGCTTTTTATATGCGTCTTTCTATTTGGCCTTGGAATAAGAAAGTGGTGTCAGTACTGGACGGAAATGTGAGTACTCTATCAGGAAATGGGGAAGAAGCTTGTTCATAGGTGGAGGGTGGTAGTACTTTTCACTTTCTATTTTCAAGATTCTTTTAAGTTTACACTCAATGGAGTATTTTGCTGATGTTATTTTTGTTCAATTGTTTCAGTCATGTTCAACTCTTCGTGACCCTATTTTGGGTTTTTTTTTTTGGCAAAAATACTAGAGCGGTTTGCTATTTCATTCTCCAACTCATTTTACAGGTGAGGAAAGGGAGGCAAACAGGGTTAAGTGACTTGCCCAGGGTCACACAGCTAGATAGTGTCTGAGGCCAGATTTGAACTCAGGAAGATGAGTTTTCCTGACTTCAGGCCTATCACTCTATCTACTGTGCCACCAAGCTCCCCATTTTATTAATGGAAAAAAAAAAACCCTGAAACACAGAGAAACAATATAAATTTCCCAGTCACAAAGCCAGGAATAAAGGAATCTATTTAGAGTTAGAAGCAACCTTAGGTATCATCAAGTCTAGCCCGTCTCCCCATGCCCAACTTTCTTTCACAGTTGAGATAATAGTGGCCCAGAAAGATGAATGAATTGCCCAATGTCAAATTAGAAGAAATTGAACCTAGTTCCCCTGTCTTTAGACCCAGTTCTTTCTTCTCTATGCCACAACCAATAATTACTAGCCCTAGTACAAAGAATCTCCTTCACAACGTGATTAACAGTGGAAACTGAAAGTCCTCCTTTCACAGATACAGAGATGACGCAACACAACTCAGAGACTTAGCCAGGACAGTGCAATCACTAAGGGTCAGAGCTGGGATCTGAACCTAAGTGTGCTAATGCTAAGCCTGGCTCGTGTTCCGCTATCCCACACAGTCTCCTAAGACTGTTCTTCATTTACTTGGCCAAGTCTTAGCAGTCATTCATTCAGGCTGAACAAATCAGTGTGCATGAAACGAGAAATGAACCTCACCTCTATCCAAAACCTAAACTGGGTTTTCTTTTAAATCTTCATTATTTTTCATTTTCATGCATCTCTGAACAGTCTAGGCCCAGCTGGGCCTGGATGTCGAAGTGTGAAATTAGGGGAGAAAGTAATTTCAAGAAAAATTTCCAGCATTTTTTCAACAAAATAGGCTTTTAGGGGATATTTTTTAAAAGATGTGGGGGGGGGAGGTGGAGAAAGGGTGAAGGATTTATATGTCCTCTTCTATACTTGAAGAGATACTTCATGGCATATTGGCTAGAGAGCAGAACTTGGAGGTAGGGCTTGGGTTCAAATCCTGCTTCAGACGCACCTACTAGTTGGGCGGCCCTTAGCAAGCCGCTAAAACTATTTCCTCATTCACAAAATAGTGATCATAAGAATACTTACCCTCCAGAATCATATAACATTTAGAGAGTGCCCTGCAAAACTTCAAGCAATATCAACATGTGAGCTTTTACTTTTATCCTTATGTTTGGGGGGGAGAGGGACACTTTCCAAAGACCCTACAGCCTTCTTTGCCAGTTATTAGAGATCCAGACTGAAGAACACTGCCTTTGGATTCGGAGCACTGGGGCTCAGTATCCAACCTCTGACCCTTGCTTCCTGTGTGACCTTGAGCATGTTACTTAATCTCTGTGGGACTCAGTTTTTTCATCAGTAAAATGAGAGGATTGGGCTTTCAGGAGTGGGCAACCTGTGGCCTCGATTTCTATTTACCTTCTAGCTGCCCAGTGCTATACACATGGAGGCATAAATAACACCAGGTAGTCAGGGCTCTTTCCTGGGCACTAACATGGGGGAAGGGGAGGTATATTTCTTTCACAGAGTGCACATGCCTTCACCAGGTCTCCAGGCTCTCACTCCTACAGGTTCTCATAGTTATTATTTCCCTCACCTGAAACTCCTTGTGATAAATAACATCAGTTCGGGATCAAGAGGGGGACAAAGATTAGCAGTGAAGGCAAATGAAGTAGACAGTCACTATCCTCATCCTACTCAGTTCCTACCCTCCTCCTGTGCTCCCTGGGAACCATCCTCTTTAGTTAACAAAATCCTCTTCATCTCAGACTTTTTTTGCTCATATTCCTTTCACCTTCCTCATTAAAATCTAGCTCTCTTCTCAAGAAATATTATCTCTTGGCACCCTTTCCTAAACTAACTGTTCCTTCTCTAACACGCCTTACACACAAGACCAGAAGTTGACATACTCCTTGCTCACCACTCCCAACCCTTTCTTATTCAGCCCTTTCTTCTGCCAACATCATTCAGCAGCCACTTCTCCCTTAAATTCTGGACCCTTGTAGCTATCATCTATGGAATTCTAGGATGTTGTCTCCTCTCCATTAAGTTCAGTACCTGGATCACAGTCTTCTCCCCCATCCCAAAAAAGACATTCCAGTTCTTCAAACTGTTCAAATCTCACAATCTCTATTTCCAGACTAGCAGTCTACCTCAACCACACATGGAAATGGTTATACCTTAGGTCAGTGGTGTCAAACTCAAATATAAAAGGGGCCACTAAACAGTACATAAAGATCTTTGTGGGCACATATTGACTTAGAAAACCGCATACTACTATTACTTATGTTCTATTGTATTTTTCTTTATTTTGTTAAATATTTCCCAATTACTTTGTAATTTAATTGTGGCAATGTTCTGGGCTACATGTAGGCTCAGGCTATGTGTTTGACACCTATGCTTTAGACCATAGGTTCTTTTTTTTTTTTTAGTTTTTAGGCAATTGGGGTTAAGTGACTTGCCCAGCGTCACACAGCTAGTAAGGGTCAAGTGTTTGGTCTGAGGCCGGATTTGAACTCAGGTCCTCCTGACTTCAGGGCCGGTGCTCTATCCACTGTGCCACCTAGCTGCCCCTAGACCACAGGTTCTTAACCTATATTCTCTCAGTGGACAGATGCCAGGGGGTCTGTGAAATTGTCTGAGGAAGTAATTACATCATTATTTCTGCTCACCTCTAAATGAAATTTAACATTTCCTTAAATTATTTAAAAACTTTCTTTTGAGAGGGGGTCCACAACTTTCACTAGATTGCCAAAGGGATCCATGAAAGAAATCAAGTTAAGAACTCTTACCTTAGAGGCTTCTTCATACCCCCAACTCAACTGACTTTTCCCAAGGTACCAGAATTCCTAGTTATATTTATCAGTGTTCATAGCACCTATCACCATTACCATCATCAGTAATAGCAGCTCATTGATGATAGTACTCTGTAATATAAATTCTACTTTTCTGAATAAAAAGCTCATATTAGTTTGAAAAATAACCCACAATTAGCTCAAATTAGTTAATGCATATGAAAGTCCTTCCATATCATCTGTTACGGTGAGAGGAGATGATGCTCCACATTTATATAACATTCTTTTTCTCATAAGATCTCAAAGGATTTTTTTTACACAGTTGTAAAGCAAGCATAATCCCAAAACCTAGGTTCAATGCCAACTATTGCCATCTAATAACTGACTAACCACCTTGAGGAAATCATTGGAACTTACTGAGCCTCAGTTCTGTAATTTATAAAATAGAGACGATAATCATTGCCTGTCTCACAGTGTTGTGAGGATCAAGTAAGAGCGTATTTGTGAAAGTGGTTTTTCAGAACTACAAAGCCTCAGTGAAAAGTATTATTGATTGTCCTGTCCAGAATAAAGTGGCATCTATCCCTCTGTTACTGAAGTCTCACTCTGATGCCACGTTATGTTGAGGGAGTGGTCATAGAAGGTTAGAGGACCATAGAAGTCCAGAAGATTAGGGTCAGATGACTCATAGGTCCTCTAGTCTGAGCCATGCTAGAACAGCAATGATCTCTACAGAATCCCTGATAATTGGTCTTCTTGAAAACTGCCAGGGGCAGCTAGGTGGCACAGTGGATAGAGCACCAGCCCTGGAGTCAAGAGGACCTGAGTTCAAATCCGGCCTCAGACACATAACACTTACTAGCTGTGTGACCCTGGGCAAGTCGCTTAACCCCAATTGCCTCACCAAAAAAGGAAAAAAAAAATAAAGATCACATTGACTTTTCTGACTTCCATGTCACATTCTTGAATCATTTAAAATTTGCAGGCCATTAAAAGTCCCAGATTTTTCCCCCATATTAATGAGTCATGCTTTTCCTATCCTATATTGTCTAGTTTATTTTTACTTTAATCTAATTGTATGCTTTTACTTTTCTCCCTATCAGATTTTATCATATTATATTGTGATCTGTTGTAATTTACTACTGAAGTCTATTAAGACCCACATTTTGTCATGTAGCTTGTTAGCTATTCCTCCTAGTTGGCACATCAGATACAAAACGAGACTTGGGGTCAGGCAGACCTGCAGTGGAATCCTACCTCAGACATATACTAGCTGTGTGTCCCTGGGCAACTCATTTAGCTTCAATTTTATCATCTATAAAATGGGGGTTGTAATATCACCTGCCTCACAGGGCTTTTGTGAGTATCAAATGAGATATCAAATATGTAAAGTGTTTTGTAAACATTTAAGAGCTATATAAATGCTAGCTATTATAATGTCATATGCAGATAGGTTGAATCTCTGTGAATAATTAATACCCTGAAGTGGTAGCATACATTCATATTCACACCATATGAGGTTATAACTGTGTAAAATATGATAATAGGTTCCAGCGTGATAGAAATTTTAAGTGTGAATTTGAATGAGTGACCATTTCTTGAGATTCATAAATTGTACTAATTGGGATCTAGCTGCATAAGTTTGATAAGATTGCCATAAATGTCTTCATCCTAGGCATTGATTTAAATCCTGAAAAGAACCAAAGACAAATATCTAGTAAATAGAGCATTCTATTACAGTCATCATTCCAATTGTCGTTGATCACTGATCACTTCTCTTTGGGTCTGGATAGTCAATCATTTCCAAGTTTACCTAAATATAAACTCAGGTAGCTGACATCCTTCAATCTTCTCAAGAATATCCAGTTGAGTAACTCTGTTAAATCTCCAGTCTTATAGCACTCCTCAAACTCTATATAATTTTTCAAAGATCACTAATATATTCTTCAGAAATCATATCTGCAAGTTCCATCAGTATCCTGGAAGGTAGTACATCTGGGAGTAGTGATCTGAGGTGTAGATGCTTAATTGGACCCCTATTTTATTGAACCTCTATTTTATTCTAATCAGTATAAATCACTTTGATATGATTCCATAGGGATAGGAATTATAAGTTCTGTTAGGGGGCCTCAAAGCTGTAAATTGCAGATTGTAAGTTCACTTGTTTAATCATAGGAAGCTAACTAGAGGACCTTGTTTTTCCTTGTTATGTTGACCAAGACCAGCATGGCGGAGGTAACTCAATTACATGAAAAGCTCCCCCCCAGCTATTTTTGTTTCCCCTCCATCTTTTGTCACCCCTCTATTGCCCAAAATGGGGAGATGACTGTGAGCACTTGGCCAATGTGTGACCCTGGTTGCTGGCCTGTGGCCTGCTTTCCACCAACCCATTCGCCCATGTGGATGTTTTGATATCTGTTTATAAGTTCAACCCATGGGTATGCTAATCAGCCTGGTAGGACCCCCTGAAAAGTCAAGATAGGTCTGTTGAGGTCTGCTCACTAGCCTATTTGTCAATCAATGAGATTTTGTGTTTTGTGAAGACCCTATGAGTAAGGTCTATCAACCGAAGAGATTCTATATTTTTGGTCTGCTCTACCTGTATTGTCCGAGTATCGAGCATTATAAAACTGAGGCCCTGGAGAAAGGGGATATCTCAGATCATGAGGAAGATCTGCATTCCACTTCAGAGGTTAGAAGACTTTCCACCCCAAAACATTAAGTAAATATGAGTTATTGCTATGTTATTCTTCTTATCTTGGATTCAATATGGTTTAACAGAGTTATTGTTTCCTTTCATTCACTTATTTTGGATTTATACTCCCTATCAACCATTTTTGTCCTATTATTTCCAATTTAAAGACTATCCTCTTTGGTAGTGAGCCAATAGGCAAAATGACAATCACATAATTCTGCCTGCTCTTCAACATCTGTTATCATCATCATTTCTTGAGCAGTAGTCTTAACTACTCTACCATCTTTCTCTTATCCTTAGCATAACTATAATCATCATCATCATCATCATCATCATCCTCCATGTTTCCTTGGCATTTATTGCCAACTGCAGCTCATCCAAAGCTTTAACTTTCTTGACATTAATTTTATCATACTATAATACTAATACTAAGTTGTCCTGTGGCAATCACAGTGAGGTCTCTCTCTTAGTCATTGCTATCAAGATTCTTGCCAGAGTCCTTCTTAATAGGCTGTCCTTCACCTGGAAGATGGACATCTACTTGAGAACCAGTGTGGCTTCATGAAGGACCAAGGAGCAGTTGATATGGTATTTGCTGCCCAATAACAGAGATCTGTACGCAACATTTGCTGATCTGACACAGGCCTTTGATACCGTCAGTCATGAGGGCTTGTGGAAGATGATGGCAAAATTTGTTTACTTGGAGAAATTCATCAGTCTTGTTATGCCAGCTTCGTGATGGCATGCTTGCCTAGGTTCTGGATGATGGATGATGCTCTCATGCTTTCCCATCGCCAGTGGAGTGAAGCAGGGCTGTGTGTTTGCTCCCATACTTTTTAGCATGATATTTTCAGTGTTATTTTCTGACACCTTTAAAAACGACGAAAACAACATCATAGTCAGCTATTGCATTGATGGTACGTTATTTAACTTAAAAAGGCTACAAGCCAAGAATAAAGTAGAGAGTTGCTGTGTGACTTTTTGTTCACATGAAGATTCTGAGATGCAGTAGAGTATGGGTTGATTCTCTGCTGTGTGTGCTAATATTGACCTCCCAATTAACACCAAGGACATGAAGGTTCTCCGCCAGCCAGCACCACACCCTCAGTTACAGCAAATGGATAAATTTTGAATGCCATGGATAAGTTCACTTCCCTTGGTAGTATACTTTCCAGGGATGTACACATAGATGATGAGTTTGACACACGTTCTGCACCTGCCAGATATGTTGTTCATAGTCATTTGTTCTCTGGATTCAGTATTGGTCGTTAGAATTATCCAGAATTTAGTTGCTAGCTTCTGTGCATGTATGTGTTTTAAAATTTTGCATGTTTATAACTTTTATGTATATTATTCTTCTCTTGTGCTTATTTTATTCCATGTCAGTTCATACAAATCCATGTTTCTCTACATTCTTCATGTTTATAGTCTCTTGGCATAATAACTTTCCTTCATATTTGTATGCTACAATTAACTCTCCAATAAATGGGTACCTAACTTTGTTACCAATCTTTTGCTATCACCAAAAAAAAATATTTCTCTAAATAATTTAGTATATATAGGACCTTTCTTTTTGTTTTTAATTTCTTTGCCTCTCCATTTAAAAAATATGTGCTTTAACCTTCTCATCCACCCATCCTGAAGTCAGGATTTAAACAATGACACTTTTTTCTTTCCTGTAGCATGGAGAGACCACCACCATTCAAGCCTCCACCACCACCAATCAAGTACACTTGCATTGGAGAATCAGTTGGAGGTGATCTGCCCTGTCATGAGATGGAAACTCTCTAATCTTTCCTCTTGGGACTTTACTGAATAGCAGTACCTGGCCTCTATCTTGTTGAGAAGATAAGAGAGTTGGTGTTTTACATTACTCTGGCCCATCTGTCAAACTTACACCACTGCAAAAATTGATGTCAGATGTGAATCACCTCTTTATACAGTTGCTAACTGTGCCATCTGCATGTGCTTCACATTGAAACAGGATGCTTGGAAATGTCTTTAGGATCAGCGGTATTCATTCCAAACATTATGATCTTCAAGATTTTATTGGCTTAATAAGATATAATTTAAAGGATATACCCTTTCGACTTCCTACTGTAGCTGAAAAATGTTGACGTTTTTCATTTTAACTGTGATTAATATGACAGCAATGGCTATAAGCATATGGCAGACCCAGATTGACCCTCCCATTTTTTTCTGCCAGGATTCTGAGCTATTTACTCACACAATAATCATCTTTGAAGTTTTGCTGGTTTGCTACAAAAACTGAAAAGGAAAAAAAAGTAGAAGCAAAAATACCTAGCAACAAAGCAGAGTAATGAAGAAGCAAGGATGGTTTCAACAACAGCACTCCAATTGGTTATTTTCACCCTTACAATTGACATAGGATTCACAAGGGGCAAAATCATGAAACATCTTTTTTCCCTTTCCTTCTTCCTGCACTGTTCTTTCTTTCTTTCTTTCTTTCTTTCTTTCTTTCTTTCTTTCTTTCTTTCTTTCTTTCTTTCTTTCTTTCTTTCTTCCTTCTTTCTTCCTTCCCCTTTCTTTTTCTTTCTTTCCTTCCTTCTTTCCTTCCTTCTTTCTTTCTTTCTTTCTTTCTTTCTTTCTTTCTTTCTTTCTTTCTTTCTTTCTTTCTTTCTTTCTTTTACTTGATCCATCCACTGGGCTCAGATATTTGGGAAAGCACATAGCAGGCAGATAGGCAGAATAAAGACTGCTCTGGCCTTTAGAATTATACTGTCCTCAATGTCCCTAAGCAAAGAATAGCTTTCTACTTGTCCTTCGTAGTGCCTCAAAACACTTAATGACTTAATTATTGGTTAACAAATAACCAGTCTTACCAAATCTAGTCCATTACATTTCACTCATTCCATTTTTAAATCCAGAGGCCTTCTGTTCATTCCATCAACTTGTTTTGACCTATTATGGAACAGGTCAAAGGACTGAGGCAAATTAGCTTTATGAAATTAATCCTTCTTTTACTTTGGATCTAAACCAGAGTAATATGCACCAAAGATTGTACAGGTAATGAAAGAGAAAGTGGCAGGGAGGTTTGCTATTGGTTTTCCTGGGTGCTAGTGATATTTTTCTCCTTCCACCCACCCCCAAAGAGGGGGAGGAACAGATGTTAGATTCATCAAATGGTTGGCATTTCCTGTGAGGTCTGTGGTCTGAGAAAGAATCTTTTAGCTAATGATCCAGCTTTATTCCTTAGAATTCTCAATGAGGTGCTTATCTCTATAAAAGGAATGAAAGCTACCATTTCCTTCCTTAAGTATTCCTTCTTTCTCCTCTGTTTTAAAACAGCAAGGGCAGCTTGTTGTAGATGCTCCCTATGTAAAAGCATTTGCACGTAATACAGAAATCAAGCCTGGATTATCACTGACTTGCAGAAAGGTCATTGTGCTCTCTCCTTCTCTTTCCCTTCCTCCTTCCCTCCCATTTCCTTTCTTCCTCTGTTTCTCTCTCCCTCTGTGTGTGTGTCTCTCTGTCTCTCTGTCTGTCTCTCTCTTCCCTCTCCTTTCTTCTCTCTCTCTCCCTCTCTGTCTCTCTCTGTCTGTCTCTTCTCTTTCTCTCTCTTCCTTCTTTCTTCTCTTTCCCTCTCTGTCTCTGTCTCTCTCTGTCTCTTCTCTTTCTCTCTTCCTTCTTTCTTCTCTCTCTCCCCTCTCTCTCTCCTCTCCCTCTCTCTCTCTCTCTCTCTCTCTCTCTCTCTCTCTCTCTCTCTCTCTCTCTCTCTCTCTCTCTCTGTCTGTCTCTTCTCTTTCTCTCTCTTCCTTCTTTCTTCTCTTTCCCTCTCTGTCTCTGTCTCTCTCTGTCTCTTCTCTTTCTCTCTCTTCCTTCTTTCTTCTCTCTCTCTCCCTCTCTCTCTCCCTCTCTCTCTCCCTCTCCCTCTCTCTCTCTCTCTCTCTCTCTCTCTCTCTCTCTCTCTCTCTCTCTCTCTCTCTCTCTCTCCCTCTCCCTCTCTCTCCCTCTTTCTGTTCTGCTTCTCTCTGTCTCTTTTCCTTTTTTTTTTTAAAGAAAAGTGTCCTCTAAAAGTCAGCACATAGGCATGTGAACATACTACAGCACAGTTGAGAGATTATTATTTTTGTGCTTCCTGTAGCCATTTCTTTCAGCGACATTTCTCAAGGTTATTAAGATGTGGGTGCAGAAGACCATGGGATTTTTCCACTGTAAGGTCTTTTTAGGTGCAAACGTGTTTTCCTGCTTTGTCCTTTGTGATACCATCCTTAACATATGCACTGGAGCTCTCTCTCTCTCTCTCTCTCTCTCTCTCTCTCTCTCTCTCTCTCTCTCTCTCTCTCTCTCTCTCTTCTCTCTCTCTCTCTCTCTCTCTCTCTCTCTCTCTCTCTCTCTCTCTCTCTCTCTCTCTCTCTCTCTCTCTCTCCTTTTCTTTTGTACATAAAAATACCCCTAAGCATGCCATTAAGAATATCCACAGCAGTTTGCAAGCAGAGCTCTCACTAAATAGGACAAACCCAGCAGTGGCTGACAAAGGAAGGTGACTTAACTCATCACTTTGGTGGAGAGGCAGACATAGTGAAAGAAGGAGAAAGGGAGAGGATGTGCCAATCCTTATCTTCAGGAGTCTGCAGAATCAAGCTTTTCATACTGCATTCCAAACAGCATGATCATAGATTGAGGCTGGGACTATAGATTTAGAGCTGGAAGTGACCTTAGAAGCCATCAAGTCCAACCCCATCATTTCACAGATAAGGAAATCGTGTCACAGAGCAATCAAGTGACTTACTGATGTCACACAGCTAATAAATATCTTTTTTTTTTGCTAATAAACATCTTAGATAGCATTTGAATCCAAGTCTTCCTGAGTGGAGGTTCCATGCCCTATTCACTATCCCAAGAAAAATAAATGACTATTAAGCCTGGACCTGTTAGCTGTGTAGAAGTTCATGCAACCTAAAGCATGACAGTCACACTCCTTCTCCTCACAAAAGGAATGGATTCTGTCCTAGACCCTAAAGAAGAAAATCACTCAGAATCCTCATTTGTCTTTTTATCATCTCTTCCTCAACTGAACAAAGAGGCTAAAGAACATTTGAATTTATTCACTTGGGAAAACATTTTAAGATATAGACATGCATACCACATAGTATGCAATTGTGTGTCCTTTGACCCAGCCATACCACTGTTAGGCCTATACCCAGAGGAAATCAAAGAAATAGGAAAAAGTCTTATAAATAAAAAAAAATTATATCATCTCTTTTTGTGGTGGCAAAAACCTGGAAACCAAGAGGATATCTATCAGTTGGAGAATGGTTGAATAAATTCTGGTATTTGAATGTGATGGAATACCGTTCTTCTACAAGAATTGAAGGAATAGATGATTTCAAAGAGTCATGAAATGACATATGAACTGATACAGAATGAAATAAGCAGGACTAGAAGAAAAATTTATACTATAACATTAGTATTATAAAAATAAACATTTTTGAAGACTTTTTATAAACTGATGAAGAATGAAATGAACATAACCAAGAGAACAAGTTAGGTAAGAACAACATTATAAAGAAAAACGACTTTGAAAGCTTTAAAATTACAATCAATACAATGACTATCCATGGTTCCAAAAGATCAGCCACAAAATATTTCATCTATCTCTTAACAGAGAGGTAAGAGATTTAGCATACAGAAGGAGACATATCTATTTTTGTATACAGCCAACAAGGGAACTTATTTTGCTTGACAATGAATATTTGTTATAAGAATTTTTATTCTTTTCTCTTCAATGGAGTATTGGGGTAGAGGGGAAAGAAAATAAATTTCTGGGTTTTTTTTTGTAATAAAGAAGTTGCTTTCCACATCCATAGAAAGAACTGATAGAGTCTGAATGCAGATGAAAGTGTACTTTTTTTTTGCTTTCTTTATTTTTGTTTTTTTGGTCTGTGTTTTATTTTACAACATGGCTAATATGGAAATATGTTTTACATAACCTCGCGTATATAATCTATACCAAATTCCTTGCCTTCTCAAAGAGGAAGAAGGGAGGTAGGGAGAGAATTTGGAAGTCAAAAAAAAAAACACAACAAATGTTAAAGATTGCTGTTACATGTAATTGTAAAAAAAAATTTTTTTTTCAAAAATAGAGAAGTAAGAGGTGCTAGGGAATGTTGCATATGTTAGCAACTGTGGTCATACCATAAACCAATTGAACGTTCCTCTGCATCCAGAATTCCTAGGTAGGGCTCTGCTTAAAAGGCCAGAGAAATCTAATTCCATAGCACTAGTAGGTAGTCATGGGTACAAATAGAAGTGGCAAGAAGTCCCAAGCAATTAGCTCAGCTCTCAGAAAATAATACAAGTGTAAACAGAAGTCCTCATGATGCTACAGATTTTGCATTGAAACTCATGTCCTCTTTATGTTTCAGTAATGGTGGTCTTCCTCTAAAGACAGAGGTGGTAGCCTAGTAATTATCTTAGCTTGGAGGCTCTATCCTTGATGGGTTAGAATCCCAAATACTTACCTTTAAAGTGGAGAGAGGAATTTAATATTTATACGTAGCAAAATATGTTAAAAGTACAAAGAAACTGTGTGAAACATAACTTCAAGTAATAACAGTTAAAAGTGAATGAGTAATTAAAATGAAATTCTTTTAGAATTTCTTATAACAAAATGAAAGATGCTATTTTTATACTATTATTGCATTACATGTAATTTGGATTTTTGTAAATAAAATGCTGTGCACTCCCCATATTTATGAGTCAGTTAATCAATAACCAATTATTAAGCACCTGCTAAATGTCAGACACTATTCTAAGCCCCAGGTATGCAAATACAAAGAAAGACATTCCCTACCCTCAAGTGGCATACAGTCTAATGGGGTAAAACAGTGCACAAAAGGCTGAAAGGGTGGGGTGGGGTAAGAAAATATGGGTCAAGAGAGCATTATGAAGAAGCCCAAAGAAATTCTAAAGCAGTACAGCTGGTGGGAAATAAGGAGCTGATTATCCTGGGCCCCCTCCTTAAATGGAGGTTTGGGAGGTCATGGGTCTGACCTCCAGAATTTTTTTCTTTTCACCATTAAGCTATTTCATTTTGAAATTGTTTAATTTGTATTTATCATGATTTCATACAAAAAGAGAGTTTGGTTCTTTCCCATACCCTTTGGGAAACATACCCCCCACCCCAACTTTAGTAAGAAACCATGTAAAGAATATATTATTAAAAATTAAGATGAACTCCAAAGGCAGAGTTCCCTCACAAATAGTGATGGAAAAGAGTTCATGCCAAGTTTTGGTTTTATTTAACAGGAGTTTCTGACTCACAACCATAAATAATCATTTCCTTTTTACACATGGCTAAGTTTGTCTTTGTAACCTCAACAACTAGTTCAATGGCTGGTACATGGCAGATGTGCTTAAAAACTCCTTGTTGATTGATTGATGTTACTAGAAATATGGGTTGGTCAAAAATATCAAGTTCTGTAGAGGTCTGAGGATGATTACTGAGAATCCACCATTGGA